TTTTTTAACCAAAATAACCTAAACCTTTTTAAACTCCTTTAAAGCTCCATTATTATTATTATTATTATTTTACTCATTATCTTTCTTTTAAAACACCTTAATCCACCAAAATTCTTTCTTTTATTTTAGTTCTCCTAGAAATAATTAAACATCTTCAACACAAACTCTTTTCCTCTCCTTATATAAACTCACTAATTTTTCTTAATCTCACAAATCAAATGAACTACTTCTCTTGTTTTCTTTAAAATCGTTAAAACCTTTTTCTTATTTTCCCCTCTTTTCTATCGTGCACCACCTCTCGCACGCCATCAATCGCAACCGCTTGTCAATCATCAAAAGTGTCACCGATCTGCGATGCTTGAACACGATGTGATTACTTACTGGAACACCTGATGCGCCTTTCACTATACCTCTTGGCACCACAATACCTTGAAACGAGTGTATCTTCCTCCGAAGACATGAGCCACCTTTGGCATCGATAGACAATGCATAACCGAACATGCAACATCAATTTAACGAAATTCACGATCGTCTCAACTCCCTTGAGTCTACTCTTGAAGAGATTCTCTCCTATCTTCGCCCGACTACCTCTAGCCAAAGTCGAGGCCGTCACTAAACACGGGGAATATCTTTATTTCTTCTCCTATGCTTTAATATACATATTGGGACAATATTCTTTAAGTGAGAGGGTAGAGAACATAGATAAAACCTACATCGAATTATCTCTCAATTATCTACATTCTTGAAATTGAGTTCCATTGATTAAATTGTTGAAATATCTTGTTATGAATTTTGAATATTGTTTTGTCTCATTAAATACCTTAGTAGTTTGTGATCACACTTTTATCGGATTTAAGGTGCATGATAGTAAAAATGGCATTCCTAGTATTTTTCCTAAAAAAATTTGCTTGATATTCCATGAATCCTTTAGTTGATATGTTTCTTGACTCGATACACATTACCCCTTCTTGTGAGATTAAAGTCTAAATGAACATATCTTCTTATTTTTGCTCATTTGTTTGATTGAGTATTCCAGATTAATTTTGACATTATAGAACTTGTGATTAAATGCATATCGAGACCACATGTTGAAACTTGATTCTTTAAAATAATTAGGGCTCTTAGGATTACCACTTCTCTACCCAAATGGCCTACGCTTTCATTTACATTCACTAGGGAACCAACTTTGAGCCATTACCTTTTTCTTTGTTTTTTTACGACATTACAAAACCTGAAGCCTTATTTATTTATTTTTTCTCCTATCTTGTTACCCTTGTCGAGACATGATATAGATTTCCTCCACGAACAAAAAAATTAAAAGAAGAAAGAAGAAGCAGTTTGAAAAAAAATCTGGATCAAGCAAAGAGTCGAACAAAAAATAGAAAAAAAAGAAAAAAAATTATTTGGTTACGCTTCCTTGAGTGTGTTTACTTTGTTGAATTTGTGGCTTGAACTAATATATTTTACATATCTTGTTTTGACCTTTGAACCCAATATTTCGTCCTTTCCCTACCTCAAACTAAGCCCCGTTACAACCTTGTTACCTTTGATTATATGTATCTTGTTCGAACAAGTGGTGGAGACTTGATTTTCTTTCAAGCCTTTGGTAATGTCCTTATAAATCCTGACTTTGAGAGATTTCTTTTACCCCAAACACTTTGAGTGATAATGAGTGATGCCTTGGCTTTTACTTAAAATTCTTGCTAGTTATGCCTATTTACTTAATTGTTACCTTGCTTCTGATACTCGATGTGATCATTAGCTTGTTTGGTTTTCCTTGGTACATTGTGAGATAAAAGATTAATGATTTGAGATTTTTACAATTCATTGAGGCATGCTTGAGGACAAGCATTGAATAAGTGAGGGGGAATTTGACGAGTGTTTTATTTGGTTAATATTTTTTATTAATTAAACATTGTTATATCCTTTTATAATGCTAATTTGGGTTGTTTTGATTGGAATTTCTGCATGACTCTATTTTTCAGGAAATAACAATTAAAAGGCAAATTAAACAAATTTTCCTACTTATTTGGGAAAAGTCGACACCAACTCAAATTCAAAGGTCGACCTAAGCACAAACTCTAATTAAATGTTCTAAGTAGCAATATCAAAGGAGGAAAGCAAGGCGAACCATAATTCTTTAGGAATTTAAAAGTTGTAATTGAATTCAAACATTTGAGATTTTATTATTTTATTAGGAATTTAGTTTGCATAGAATTTTTATTTAGGATTTTTAGTTTGTTAGAATTAAGAGTTTGAATATTTTAAGAGTTAGTATTTTATTTTCATTAGGTTAACTCAAGACTATAAATAACCCCTAGGGGTAAATCTTGAGGGAGGTACAAGTTTAGAATTCAGTATAAAACTAATTCTGGTTTTTTCTTTGTTTTAGTTTATTTCAATAAAATTATTTTTCTTCTCTATCTACTCTCTTTCTACACGCCAAGCATGATTTCTACCATGCTTGGCTAACTTTTTCGCTAGCTAATAGCTGAGCGAACAACTCAATCCAAGCTCGTGAGAATCGAAAGGTACGTAACATCTTCAGATTTCTTTCTTGATTTTTCTGCAAACAAGGAGAGGCAATTGACCTTTCTTCAACATCTTAATATCTTCAATCCAAGGAGTGTATATAGCACATTGGTTTGTTCAAAGTGGTGATCTACAGTTGGGGAGGAGAATCAGCTTGTAGCAAATTCAATTCCCTAAGAACAATCTTAGCGACAATCCGCTAAATGAAATCAAGATCGGGTTCGATTCTCATCGAGACACTATAAGTCGTGCACAAGCTTTTCCAATTCAAAACTAGCATTGGCATTAATATCGATAGTCGATATTAATCCAAACAAGGGCTAATTTTCAAGGATTGACTTTGAAAATCAGTTCACAAGAGAGAAGAGCAAGTTACAAGGGTTGGGCCTTGTAGACTATAACTGGCAAGTATCCGAAGTAAAACCTATTTTAGTGATCGAGACGGATTGAGGCGAAGCGAAGCTGGAAGCTATTTCTCATCTTTATTATTCCTTTACAATTTACTTTTCTTAATTTTCCTTATTGTTTGTATCTTATTTTTACTTTAATTTTATTTTACTTATTTACTTTAAAATCCCTCTTTCTTTTTAATTTACTTGTTTTACAGGCTTCTTGGTTCAAGATCAAATCGAATTAGAATTAGAAATTTCTGAATCCCTATGGACCGACACCTTTCTTCTCTATATTACTTTGTTAGCACAATTATTCCAGAAAAATTGATTATTTATTTGACAATTACGTCACTTGTCAAGGGTGCCCCATGAAGGTGAACTTGAGATTGACGCGTGTCCCGATCACACCGACAAGAGCTTCATGACCATTATTCACGATAATGAAGTTACAGGTCTACAGGTGAAAACTAAGGACGGTGATTGGATCAGTGTCGAGCCCTCCGGTTCCACGTTCCTTGTCATGGCTGGCGATGCATTCTTGGCATGCAGTAATGGAAGAATACATTCTCCGATCCATCGTGTGATCGCGACGGAAGCCGAAAAGGAAAAATATAGCCTTGCGTTCTTCTCTTTTAGTGGGGAGATTATACAAACGCCCAAGGAGCTTGTTGATGAGGCTTATTCGCTGTTGCTTAAGCCTTTTCATAATATGGACTTGCTTCGACTCTTTTCCCTTGACGATGTTCAGAAATATATCGATTTTATTTCCCAAGCCAAATGCAGAGCATGAACACATTTATGTTTTTTATATATTTTCTTCCTAGGATTGGCTTTATCCGGTGACTGAGCCAGAATTAAATATTGACATGGTCGAAATATTAGACAATTTAAGAAAAATATAAAGACTTATTAGGTATTTAAACTCGAAATTCAGCATGAACAAAACGATCTTAGTGATTAAGAGATTATTATTATCATTGACATCTTAGGTTTAAGCATTGTGTATGTAGGGGTATGAGCGTTCATTGTCAAATAGTTGAAACTCTTTGTACATATACTACCTTGTATTCACCTTAAATTTATAAAGAAAAAAAACTCAAAATTCACAAGACAACTTCTATTTTTTTCTAATATTTAAACTTACAATGACCTAAATTATAATTAGACAAAAAATTTGAGAATACAGACTTATCATTCTTTAGTTCAACCCCTACTTGATTAAATATTTAATAATTTTTTATATTTTTTAAAATTAAATATTTATTTTTATATGAACCAAAATACTATTAAACGAAAATTATATTGAATATACAAATTTTAACAAGGGCCGGACCCGCTCCGTCTCTAGGCTTTATCACATGTAATGTGATCTATTCTTCTTAGAAAGAAAGTGTAATTATTGTTGTCTTTTTAATATGTAAAATTGTTCATATTTGATTGTCTTAATCAAAATAATGGATTTGATGCATTATTAATGACCAAAATTGTGAAGCCAATGAATTTAAGGATCAATAAAAATCAACTGCAAATTCCTACTGCATCTAACTAATGATCTAATCTAATTAAGCTAATTAAGGGCTATGAGCATTCAAAACACATGAAAAATTCCATGCATGTTATTATATTCATTAGAAACAAAAGCATACGAAATTCTTTCCATTGCTTTTTATACTAACTTTTGTTTACTATATTAGAATTTTTGTAATTTTATGCGGGGTGTGTTTGTTTCTTGAGAAAGTTCATGCTCATTATATATATTGTTATGTTTACCCTTCACAACGTTAAATTGCATATTATTGGCCATTTATCCACATATTGAATTGCGTCACACTTATGACTTCTTTGCTAGCTACATTGCTCATTATGTTGAAGATGGAGGCCAAGAAAGCATATTTAGGAAACGATTAAAGATAATTGATTGTTAAAGTAACCAACAAATTCTTTCCTACAAGATTAGAATAGAACACAACTACAGACAGATAAATTCTAATTCTACATTAGTTTTCTGGAACATGAAACAACAGAGATGCTGTTTCAGATAATGCCCTAAAGTTCTATTTCCACTCTTCACTGCCTTCATGGAGAGACAATGTCTGCACGATTTTGGATTCTGGCTGATCGTCTCACCGGAGTTATCACCTCGTTGTTGCTTCCCAACTCTTTCCCTAAACGTTTCTTCTTGGCAGTCGACGTTGATCTTTCGGATGAATTGGAGTTCACAGCGGAGAGGTGTGTGTGTCCTTGTTGATCCTTGCTCCCCAAATCCTTTTCTGAGAAATAAGAATAGCTGCTCACTTGATCTTTCATTCTTCTGTTTATAGCAGAACTTCTAACTGATCTACTTATTTCACCAAAGTCAAATTCAGTCAGCAACTCAACTGAAGGTGCTCGGCTCCTAACTGCAGAGGTAGTACTAATCAACGGCATGGTGTTGGAAACAGCAAGCTTTATTGGATCATCTGCAGGAAGTGGCAAACTTGCCTTCTTCTCCTTCACAATTGGTTTGATCGAATGCTTATCGACCGGAGAAGAAGACGGCTTTGGTGCAATTCCCTTTCTCCTGATGTTAAAGCCAAATACAAAAGGTGCAACAATGGCAGCACATGTTAGAAACCCAAACATAACTTTGAGAAACATTTCAGTTTCCATGGCAGCACATGTTAAGAACAATGGATTTTCCCCACTTCTGCAGCATACTGATTTGCAATATTATAACTTGAACCATGTCGGTATCACTGGTTTCCTTGTGAAGATCTTCATCTTCCTCCTTTGGAACCTCCCTGATTTCCTCTGAAGATTCTGTTCCTTCAGAAAAAAGACTTGCCTGATGATCAACTTGTAAGGATTCAATGTCTTCATCTACATCTTGGGTTTCTTCAATCTGCTCCTCAGTTTCTCCCATCTCCTGCAACTCAAATTTCTCCGATTCATCTTCAATCTTTTCTACACTTTTTATCTCGGTTTCTTCCATCTCTAGTAACTCAATGTTCTCTGCAAATTCCTCAGAAGCTTCTTCAACCATCTCTTCAGATTCGACAACTGTATTCTCTATCTCCAAGCTAACTACGTGTCCCTTTATCTCAGTTTCTTCCATCTCTAGTAACTCAATGTTCTCTTCAAATTCCTCAGAAGCTTCTTCAACCATCTCTTCAGATTCGACAACTGTATTATCTATCTCCAAGCTAACTACGTGTCCCAAGTTAGCCTTTTCCTCCTCAATTACCTCATCTTCCATAGTTTGGGTGATGCTCAATAAACCCAATTGCTCTTTTTTTCCATCCAAGAACTTATACCCAAAACCCTCAGCTATTCCAAATGAATGGTTTTGAAAACCAAGTGCATGAACCTCAAAAGCTGGAGCAGAGACGGGGGAATTCATGGAGGAAATATGTGATGTACTCAGTAATAACACAACCGACAAAAGGAAATATTTCAACACTCCTCCCAGACTCCATGCTGCTTCATCCTCTCCCTCTTCGAATTCTTCATCTTCATTCTCCGAAAGACTCTCACTTTCGGCGCCGAATTCTTCATCTTCTTTAGAAGAAGAGGCCAAAGAACTGTCACCAGAAACAGCGTCGGCTTCATCAGATTCAACAGTGGGATCATCCCCTTCTTTGTCTTCCATTTCAAGGCGTAAAAATATCTCCTTTCGCCTTTCGGGATTATACCTTAAGAATTGAGGCCTTGGTGAAAGGTAATTCTTCAATGGGTCGTAAGGACTCGGTGAGGGTGTCCCATCCCTGGAACTGTTCGACAACGGTGTCTTGTGGGAGACAGGCTCTTTAGAAACGACTTTGGGATCAAGATTTGGGGAATTCTTTGAAATGATCTTTGGCGAGGGGTTTGAATCAAGATTTGGGGATTTGGAAAAATGGGTAATGGAGGAATTTGATCCTGGAGATTCATTTCTTTCACCCAAGACTTTCTTTCTTGGAAAACTGGAAGTCTTCACATTTTGTTTCATCGGTTTCTGCAAATTCAAATCCCTTTGCAGATTGGGTCTATCATTCTCATCTGAAAAAAATCCCAAATTAAACAAATCTTAGAAAAATTTTTTATCCAAAGTAAACAAAAGAAACAGAAGAAGAATCGGAGAAAAGATTACCATTGGGAGAAGCAGATGATCTCATCGGAGGAGACTTAAAATGTATTTTTTTCATCTTTTCTCTTTGTCGTTGAGTTTTGATTGGAAATGGATTTCTTTAAGTTGTCTTGCTTGTATATAGAGGGAGGAAAGAAGCACAAATTTTGAACCTGGTGACCGTTGGGAATAAGATGTATTTTGGAAATTTTAAAATGCACTACATTTTTTAACCGTTGGAAGAGATAGCCGTTGTCCAACGGTATAATGGAGATCCACGTTTACCTACTCGGCTACTCCCAGCGATATGAACAAAGTCTTAACCACGGCCACATATTATTAAGGTAAATTGCACATTTAGTATCTAGACTATTATTTTTGTTCTATTTTAGTATTTAGACTTTAATTTTTTAAATTATATATAATGTTTAGTTTATATTTCATTTTGGTACCCATCATTAAAAACTCAACATTGATGTTGACGTATCACCATAAAATATTGCACAGTCATCATTGAAAAAAAATCACATTAACAGTTCTGTTAGTTTTTTAATGGCAGAATACAAAAATAAAAGTTTTTTTAAAAATAAATAAATTTTAGGTACCAAAATGAAACAAAAGTAATAGTTTAGATACTAAATGTGTAGTTTACCCTATTAAATTTTAAGGCAAACTATACATTTAGTAACTCAACTATAACTTTTATTTTATTTTGATCACTCAACTTTTTTTTCAAAATCATACCTAACATTATATTTTAGTTTCATTTTAGTCACTCAATGTTAAAAAATTAACAGAATTATTGATGTGACATTTTTATTTTTTTTTAATGACAACATGACATTATCTTATAATGACATGTCATCATTACCATTACTTTTTAACAATGATGATCAAAATGAAATCAAAACTAAACGTTAGATATGATTTTTTTAAAAACAATAATGGGATTATCAAAATGAAATAAAACTTATTGTTAAAGTATAAAATGTATAGTTTACATTAAATTTTGATGAAATTAAGGTAATGATCTTTAAATTAAATGAAGAGTTAAAGGTTACATCAAATGTAACACTTGGATAATGCATATTCTAGATTATTGAATTTTAACTTTCACTTCAATTATAAATGTGTTATTGAAATATTGTGATAGTTATTTATTTTTAAATAAAATTGATATATACATTTTTTTTGGTTTTTAACACATTTTCTCATTCTTTTTTATCTTGAATGATATCAACGTTAAAAAAATCATCTAAAACATTTATCACGTCAATAAAGATGTCTCCTAATTAGGGATGGGCATGGGTAGGGTTTGGGTCGGTTTAAGGCAACCCGACCCGACTCAAAAATTTTACATCCTTCACTCAACCCGACCTGATACGATCCGAAAAATATATATCCTTCACTCGACCCGAACTCAACCCGACTTTTAAGATAAAATCTAAAACCGATCTGACCCGACCCGAAATAATAAAAAAATATTATTTTTATTCAATAAAAATAGTGATTTAATTGAAAAAAATAATATATAGAGGGGTATTATTGTAATTATACCTAAATATATAAGGTAAAATTATATTTTTTAGGGTGGTTCGGGTAGGGTATTTTTCACCCTAAACCCGAATCCGACCCGACCCGAACTTGAAATTTTTTTAAAAAAACCTACCCAATCGGGTCAGGTCAGATCAGAACCTGTTGGAGTCGGGTCTCATGCCCATCCCTACTCCTAATACTCCTACAAACTATGCTTTTAAAAAATCTTCCTACCTGATACCCCTTTATTAAAAGAATAACATTTTATTAAATATTAATATTATTTGAGAGACGTTTGAATAAATAAATAAATAAATATAGAATAGATATTACTTACATAAATTAGCCTTTTTATTAGTTTGTGAATAATAATAAAATCGTTTTCATTGTTTGAGTGAATGTTATATTGTAATCATGAATGTACAACATGCATGTCATCAATATTTTTTTTGTTATATCAATGGTATAACATGTATGTAACACCCTAAATTTGATTAGGCTTAAAGTGTCACACTGGGTTGCCAAGGCAACCCCTGATTTTCAAATCATGTTCATTTTTTCAAACATACTGAATGATATCATGTTAAAACATAAATAACTGATATAAAACATTTTACAAAACCGGAGCTCCATGACACATAATTTAAAACAAAATAATACATCTTGAAGTTACAACTCAAATACACAAGTAAGGTTTTATGAATACACATGCCCACTAAAGCTACAATACAATACTTTATCAGAGTTGATGAAAATCCTACTGCGACGGTGCTCTACGAACGGCCCAAGCTATTGACTTGGCAACGAAAAGCATCCAAAGGTTGAGCTTACAAAGCCCAGCAATATAATCACTAATCTACAGCATCATAAGAATTCATAAACACGAGAATGTTGAAGACATAGTACTAAGAAGTATATACATGCATGATCTAGATCAAGTGCTACCTACTTAAGGCTTTATTGTTCTATCACTGAAGTAGGAGTCTCACGCTTCCTTTAGTCCTCTACTAAGGGCCTCGCTATGAGTACGCCTCTAAAGGGTTTCTAACCCCAATGCCTGTAACTGCTACGCATTATCTGAATACGACAATGATATTCCTGTGCATTATCTGAATGCAGACCTAAACATATTGTGCATTAATTGAATGCTAACCTGACTAGTATCTGGTCTCACATAACCGTCAGACACTAGTTACTGAGGGAACTCGATGTCACATAGCATCGGTACAATTCTCGCCCATCTAAAGCATTGGCTCGGTTTCATATAGCCTTCAAGCCAAGTTTTAACATATCTATTTTACTGAGTGATGCAACTATACAAACATGTCTAAGGCCTAAAGGACACACAGCACTGACATCGCTAACCCACTAATCGCGAGTGTTCGGGCCTCACGCCCTAGTTTTCTCCTGAAATGCCTTGCGCACTGACATGACCCACTAGAGAAATTAGGCTAACATGGCTATACCTTAGCATATTTGGACTCACTAAAGTGAGTTTATCCTCTCACTAATTGTTTTCTCACTCGTTTTCTCATCTAGAACATTATGTGAAGGCTTATTAGTTTGTTACTGTTGTTATTTATTAAGCTGCTCTATTTTGGTCGTTCATTACTTACGGGTGTTTAGTCATTTTCTGCCTCTAGAGAAGTTTCTATGTGTATCTGGGTTTTTATGACAATTACTGAGTTTGTACTATTTCGTCATACTATTTACTAGCCTGATACCTTACTCAGGTCCAACTCTGAGTAATGATACTCTTATATTTTTTAGTCTAATTAATTCATCATATTGCTTCTCGGTATGTACTCTATAATGGTCCTTCATTCTTAGTTACTCGCTCTGAGGCCCATAAGAGTAAATTGGTAATTTAAGCCCTCAAGGGCATTTTCATCATTTTCATACCCAAGATAGATGTTCGATCTTAAACGATATTAAACTCCTCACTCTTGAGTATAATTGACATCTTGAAGTCACTCGACCACTTTGGGTATTGATATCGAGTCTTCGATATGGAGACCAGTTCATCGATATGGAGACCAGTCGGTCTCGAGATCGAGCATCCGGTATCGATACTACAACCCACAATATCGATACTAAGGGGTTAGTACCCTAATTTTCCCCCAATTTATGTAATGGATATTTTGGGTTCAAATAACACCAAAAAATACCTTAAATCCATAGTTTGATTTTACAATTTCAGCCCTCAAGGGCATTTTAGTCATTTTTTCATACTCGATATAGATGTCTGATCTTAAACGATATAAACTCCTCACTCTTGAGTCTATTTGATATCTTGAAGTCACTCGACCACTTTGGGCATTAATATCGAGCATTTGGTATGGATACTCAATCTTCCGTATGGATACTAGTCATTCGGCTTGGAGACTAGTTCTTCGTTATGGAGACTAGTCCTACAGTATGGAGACCAGCCAATCTCGAGACCAAGCATACGATCTCGATACTGAGCATCCGATATTGATATTACAACCCACAATATTGATACCAAGGGGTCAGTATCGATACTACTTCCCTCAATATCGATACTACCTATCAGAAACCCTAATTTTCACCCTAATTCATCCAGTATCAATATTTTCATCCCAGTATCAATACTTGAACTCTAAAATGGATATTTTAGGTTCGAGAAACACCCAAAAATCACCCCTAAAGTCCATAGTTTGATTCTAAATCATGAACTAAAGTTTTTAGGAGTTAACTAAGTTCACTATGTGTCATAAAATACATTAATAACACCTAAAAATTCTTTTAATCTTGAAATCAAAATTAAACTCCAATATGCTCAACTACAAAAATCTTAGCAAATCCTTGAAATTTATGAAAACTTGATACTTTTAAGGATTAGAAATACAATGTCTTGTTGTTTGAACCCCGAAATTAGGCTCTTTGCTTAACCACACTCCATTTCTTGGAGATTTGAATGAAAACCTAGCTAGGATTAAACCAAGACTTTGATTATTTAAAATGATGTTGCAAGGGGAATTTATAATGAAAATGAAACAAGAAAAAGGTTCAAGACCTTACCTTAGAGCTATGGCTACTTAAAGAAGATGAATGAAGAAGATATGACGAAGAAAATGAAGAGAAGACATGAGAAATGAGACCCCATGTCCCAAAATATATAAAACCCCTAAATTTTAGCTTCAAAATCCAAAAATGGTCTAATTACTCTTTTAGTCCCTTACATCTTGACTACTAATTAAAAATCCATTTTTATGGTTAATTAGGCCTAAAACCAACCCAATTAAACCTAATAACTTAAATCATAAAATCCACGAGGTCCACTTACCTCTCGGGTAAACTTGAAACTACTAGCCCAAAATTTTGGGTATTACAACTCTCCCCTCCTTGAAAGAAATTTTGTCTGTAAAATTTACTTGGTCCAAATGATATTATCCATATGTCAAACGCTTAGGAACCTTGAAATACCTAAAATTATATCAAAACTAATTCTGAAGGAAGAAGTCCTTACAAACTTACATGCTGCTCGAAATTCGTAAAATCATTCTAAATGCGATACCAACACCAAACTTCAAGTGAAAAT